ATTATTAAAAATATTTTTAATAAATAATTTATTAAAATACTGAAAAAGTTTCATTAATTATTATTCTCTAGGCTGTGCTACCAAAAAACTTTCCACTCAAAAAACTTTTCAAAAAACTAACTTATTGGCATGTGTGTCATAGGTTGCTGACCACTGGTATAGTTCAATACATGGCATGCAATGAACTGTACTATGGTTTAAAATAATAATATTGAAACTACTGTATTTATTTCAAAATTAAATTTTATATTAACAGAGATTTATTAAAATGGTGTCAACGAATTATTGAAGATTTTGACCTTACATCAACAAAAGCATCTTTAGCAGTTTTTCAGGATGCAATAGATTGTTTTTGTAAACATATATCATCTACATATGAACGTGTAAATTTAGCAAAATCTGTTGGCACAAAATTAAATCTTACTGAAGCAAAGGTAAATATTTCATAATAAACTTAAATATGAATTTATATATTATAAATAAAGAATATAAATTTGTAATTGAAACTTAATTTTCAGATTTCTATTAAAAAAATTTTTTTTATTTTTTTAAGATTGAGTACTTTTGTACAAAATATAAGCCAGAAATCTCTATTTCATCAGATATAGTTAAAATAGGAAGAGTAACTTTGATGAAACGAAAACAAAATACTATCTCTGAGAAAAGGTAAGTTTATAAACAAAAATTACTGAAATGTGTAGCATATTTATCATTAAATTTGATATAATTTAATGTCAGTTATATCAAATTAATCTAAATTAATGTTAAAAAATTATTTTATTATACAGTACTGGGCTAACTATCTGGCTTTCAGAAAACCAGCTATTTTTAAAACTGACTAGTTTTGAATATGACTATAATGAAAAATTTGTTGTTTGTGATATAATGTATTCTTGAAACAATGGATGATTTTCAGTGGCCCAAGCAATCTGTTAAAACAAGATTCTACTGTAATTTAATTCAATTTAAATAACTGCTAATGTTATTTTTGTTAGGTGTTCAAAAACAGTGTACGCCCATACTCGTCAATCATTAGCACTTTTGGAATCAGTTGCAGTTGCTGTTAAAAACTCTGAACCTGTTCTTCTTGTTGGTGAAACTGGTACTGGAAAAACATCAGTTGTTCAATATCTTGCTGATTTATTAGGTATTGCATATATTTTTATAAGTAAATTTATAATTGTTTATTTTAGAATTTTTTATCAATAAAATATATACACTATGCAAAATTACACATTTTTAAAACACTAAAAGATATTTATATGTACAAATTGTCCTTAGATATGCTCTTATGCTTATTTGAAATAATTGATACTTTTTGTACTTTTTCTTTAAAACAAATTAATTTAATTAAAATAAAATTTGTAATGAGGTAAACATAAATAAATTAACAGTTTTATATAAATATTTTAAGAAAACAAATGTTAATTATATATTTTAAATAACTATTGTAGGTGTTTTAGTATCACTTTATTGATATGCAAATATGTTTCTTTACTAAAAATTTTTCATTATAATCATTTTAATAAAAACAAAAAACTAAATAACATAAAGTTCTTTAATCTTGTATTTCATTTAAATCATATGGAGTATTTCTTCTATCTGTTTTGTTATAGAATGTATTTGAATAAAAAAGAGTAATCGTGTTTTTAACAATTTAAATAAATTGTTAAAAACACAATATTTCTGCCATTAGAAAATTTATAAACATAGAACATTTTAAAACAGAAAATTTTTTATTTTGTTTTGTTTTTTTTTTTGTACATTTTTATTTTTGTGAAAAAGGCAAAATATAATTCATTAGTAAGGTTTTCATTGTTTATTTAATTTAGTAGAAAAATTTTATGACATCTTGAATTGCTGATATTAGGCAATATGCATCATATTTCTGATAAATGACTAATAAATTCTGTTAATTTTTTGTTATGATTATAAGTAAAATTATGTAGGATTAATAAGCATGCTCATTAATTATGTTAACATGTTAAAAAAAATTGAAGATTGAATGAATATTTTTATTGATATTTTTCATTTCATCTTTTAATACATTTAAGAGATACAATTATAATTATTTATTTCAATTAATTGTTACATTGCTTTTATTAAGCTTTTTATCTAATTGATATAATATAATTTGATTACAGGCCATAAACTTACTGTAATTAATATGAATCAGCAAAGTGATAGTGTGGATCTTTTAGGAGGGTGTGTATATTTATGTATAACTAATATTTGATCATTGTTAATAATAAGATTTGTGTAAGAAATATTAATTTTAAAATATAGAATCATGTAATGATTTGTAACTTTATAGTACAGTGTAACCTGGTTAACTCAAACTGGGATAACTTGAAATTGCATTTACTCAGTCATTTTTTTCCCCAATTGTCTAGCATAGGGATTTATTTGTGTGTTAAATGAAACTGTTTAACTGAAATGTTGGTTTTCATAAACTCCTGGAAATTTAATTTAAATAAAATAATTAACATTCATCTATCAAATAAACTAGTTAGAAACTTTCTATAAAGTGGGACCATGTATGACTTAAAATAAAATAAATATTTATAATGTTTATTTATGTTTATAATGTCATTAACAGCGGGTGGGGTGGATCACTTCCATACAGCATGTCTGATCTAGATACAGTAACTGCCATTTGAATCTTTTTTTTTTTAACATTTGTTTTTGTTTTATTTCATTGATGATTGATTTCTCTGACTAGCTTACATAATAAATAAATAGAATTTTGACAAATTAATTAAAAACAATTATAGTCCAATTCTATGTAAAAATGTCAATCTTTGTTGCAAAGTTTTAAAAATATAAGTCATAAAGAGTGGTATTTTTGTGATAAAAGATAAAAAACAGATTGATTCTAGGTGCAAAATATTTCAATTTAAAATAATCCTTACTAAACACTTAGGAGTGAACGGATTAACATTCACATTCAGGAAAGCATCTGTCAGTAGCTTATTTAACCATTCAATTAAGTATTTTCAAGTTTCTGGACAATACTGAGAGGTTTATATTGACACAATGATTTTATGTAATAAGACTCAGAGAAATACTGTATGGATAGTTTATTATGGGCCATCAATAAAACAACATACAAAATCTTGGTTTTTTACGTGAACCTCCATATCTCTAAACTTTTTAACTCAAAGTCTGAATTTTTTTCTTGTGATTGATTCGAGTTAACAGGTTCCACTGTATTATTAAAAGTAAAGAATTAAGTAAAACTAGTATAAACTAGAATATCACTGTAGCAATTTTTTCCATTTTGGTCAATTTTCATTTTGAATAGGTTTTAGTACTTTTTTTTTTTTAAATCTTTAAACTATACAAGTTAAATATCAGACACTTTCATTTTTATAGTAAAACCACTTTTATTATATATGTAAGAAACATTTTATTACTAGGATTCATCCAAAGTGATTTTGACTAAAGATGGGAGTATTTGAATGTAAGAAATGACATCTATTCTATTCTAAAAAGTTGTTATTGTTTCTGAGAACTTGTGCTACAATCAAGGTCAACTTGTTACAAACAAATGATAGTACATATGATTTGTTTTTAACAATGTATTAATGCTGAAAGACAGTTTTAAAATATACATCTAAATCTAAGGGTTTTTTATTTCAAAATTTTTTTTATTTTGCATAATTTAAGTTGACATTTATGCAAATGAATTGTTTTGTTTATTCACAGATGTAATGTTTTACAAACACACTAATTTACATGTCATTCTGCTCCTTATGTCTAAGTCATACTAACATCCTGATTGATNAAACTTAAGCAACATTTTTTTTCTTACTGTAACTCCACAAGACATCACCTGAGAAACATGAAATTCAGAATACAGAGACCGTATTCTGTACTTAAAGGATGGAGAAAGCACATTTGTGCAAAAATGAATAGAATGCACACAGTATGGAATTAAAGTTTTCTTCTTATTGTAATCTTGCACTGTGCATGCTGATTGCATGTGCTTTGTGTACCCTCACATCACCTATGATGTGTTCAACCTGCATACAAATAATTTTTCTACTGAATTGAGTGTTCATTGTACTGATCGCAACAAGACTTTTTCAACAATTTCATAGCTGTCTGTGTAAAAATTACATCATTGCTTAAGTTTTGCACACCAGTGTACAAATAAAATGTCATTATATAAAATTAATAC